CCTGACAAGTGTTTGTCCAGACGCTACTTAAAGGCTGCCAGTGAGAGGAAGCTCACCCCTTCCCTAGATAGCTGATTTCACTGTGATCTGTATTTCAGATCCTCCAAGATCATTTAGCTATCCCTGGGAGGGTGGTTGGAAAGTGCCACAAAGTTGCAGCCAACTTATGGTGACCCTGTAGGGTTTTCAAGGCAAGAGACATTCGGATTATTACTATGCAGTGTGGTCTGTGTCATGGTGATGCTGCCTTATGGTGTAGCAAGACAAGAATGTCTTCTTGTATTCCCTAAGGGGTCTGAGCTGAGTGAAACTAGAGAAAAGAGAAATTAAAGTGAAACTCACCACCACCCATGTTTTATCTGCAATAAAGATGGCTCAGTGTTTTACCATGTGAAGGAACCTAATACTTCAGACTGCTGTGTATAAACATGCTCTACAGTCACATGTTTATGAGGGAAGTGCCAAGTGTCTACCAAATAAAAGACCAGAAAGTCTACATGATTGATAAAAGAAGCTCACACTATATGACAGTTGACTGAAGGATCACTAAACCAATTTTACTTTACTATATTCAGAGAGGCCACACATTGCTAGATTGTTAGATCTTTCTTCAGGGAAGTCAACTCTTACTCTATGTTGTCGAAGGCTTTCACGGCCGGAGTTCATTAGTTGCTGTAGATTTTCCGGGATGTGTGGCCGTGGTCTTGTGGTAAGACTACGGCCACACATCCCAGAAGATCTACAGCAACTAATCAACTCTTAATCTGTTTCTGGTCTAGATTCAAGCTCTTAACTTTGCCTTAAAAGGGCTTGGGGCTGGGGTACTTGAAGGACCACTTCACCTGTACTGTCCAGTCCACTAGGTAAGATCTTCTTCCTAAGGCCAGTACTCTGTGCTCCTCCCTAAGACTGATGATGTGGGTAGTGACCACCAGAAACAGGGCCTTTTCAGTGGAGGCACCTCATCTCTGGGACCTCATTTTCCTGTTGAAGTTCAGCTGGTGCCAGCCGTGCTTCCCTTCAAGCACCAGGCCAAAACGGTTCTTTTTACTCAGGCATTGAACTGTTCTTATGGTTTGCTTCTAGCCTGAGGATTAGTTTATAAATATAATTTACTACTCAGTAATGAATGACATGGTTTATTTGGAAATATAACTTCTTTGTTGGTTTGTTGGTTTGTTTTGAGCATTTTTATGGCAGCCTTTCTCCAAATCAGGACTCAAGGCGGGTGACAATGATACCAAAACTAATATAGTATTTAAAAGGCCATAAAACCTAATGAATGCATTTTAAAAATCAGGAGGCAGATCACATTCACATACAATTAAAGAAGGGAAAGTGACAAAAACTGCATGACACAACATTTCATCAAAGAATGATACGCCCATTCTTTACTGGGGACCAATTGGATTAGAGCTGATTAACATGAAGGCGGAGCAGAGATGCTCCGTCTCCACAAGCTGGACATAAAACAAAGACAGATACCATAGAGACATCCAGTTTTGTGGGTTCTGTTTCATTTTCTTGCGGGAGCTCTAAATCTCTTCACTATGTTCTGGGCTTCCATTGTTGTACTTTTAGTGCTGTGGGGCACAGGTAGGAGCAGGTGAAACACACCTTAAAGTGCTGCTAATGTGAATATAGTGGATAAGTTGGATGAATGTGATAATTTCTGCGATATTTTTTTTGTCCAGGTTCCAGTTCTCAGTCTACACTGTCTCAGCCAGCAGCAGCATCAGTGTCACCAGGGAACACAGTGAAGCTCTCCTGTGTCATGAGCAGTGGGTCCAGCATCAGTAGCTATAATATCTATTGGTACCAGCAGAAGCCTGGGAATTCCCCAAGGTACCTCTTATGGTATCGCTCAGATTCCAGCAAAGGCCAGGGCTCTGGAGTCCCCTCTCGTTTCTCTGCTTCCAAAGACGGATCTAGTAACACCTGCTATTTAACCATCACGGGAGCCCTGGCAGAAGACGAGTCTGCTTATTACTGTGCATACTGGACCGGCAATGCTTGTCACAGTGATACAATCAGATGGGGAACTGAGACAAAAACCTCCTTCTTCTGTTCCTAAAGAGGGCTGAACTGAGCACTGGATGGCACAGAGAGAGCTACTGGAACTATTACACTTTGGAGTGAATCATGTTCCAGCCATTTGAACTGGGAGGTGGATTTTTTTTTTACTTGTTTGTTTATTACTATCAACTCTGATTGAATCTATATGGGAAAGCCTTGTGGGTGGAGGATATGCCTGAAGAAAGGATACTGCAAGTCCAGAAAACCT